ACGTTATCACAGCTGATTCTGATGATTGAAGTTCAGCAAATGCCTTTTAATCAGCTATCAATGAAAATCAGCTTTGCTGGAACAGAAATACTCAAAAACCTGCATGGCAGTGGCCCTCGAGGACCGACTTTGGGCATGCCTGATTTAGATTAAGGGTTTAATCAGGGAAAAAAACACACTTAACACAACAGAAGGTAGCAAACTGGAAAATTTCATTCACAAGTTAAACTGAAGGCTTAAAAATAACAGAGAACAGGTGCAGGCAATAGGCTAATTAAAGAGACACAGGTAAGCGTGATCTACTCATTAAATGTTGGCTCTTGCTGATGGAAATATAGTTAACAGGGCAGATAGGGAAAAATCATCATTTCATCCAAATGTAATAAACAAACTCAAAACGCTGCGGATAGACACATGCTATATCCAGTGCTCTTGTTCCTCTCTTTCAAATATATCCCAATTTATGTTTTGGTAAATAAAGATTTAAATTGTTATCTTTAAAAGTACCACAGTTTTCGTTCAGTCTTAGCACATCACAATTGTAACATATTCTTTGTTAACCAAAGAGTGAAACTAGCATTGTCCGTAAAACACAAAAAAAATCTTTTTTTTAGTTTAGTCACTCAGACGTTGTAGCCATGAAGTGGTTTCAGTGTTTATTGAGAGGTGTCTGTTGTAGATAATATATTCTATGGCAGGTGAAGATATCTTACCTTGAATAAATAATGATCCACTATCAACTTTCTGCAGATGTGAGACGGTACCAAACATAATTTGATCTCTCTAGCTGTGCCAGGCTGCCACAGAGTCTTTGTACATGTTCAAACTTTAGAGACATGTTTAGAAATGGAATGTGAAAGAAGCAAAAATTCATAGTAATAGTCAAGATCCTATAATGCCACGACTCATTCTCATGTTTAACTATGCAGGCGCTCTGTCTTCCCTGAGGAAGATCAACTCCCATTGCTATGCCAAATATTTGGAATGGCTGAAGAGTTGAATTTATGTTCCGAGTAATTCAGCCTATCATTATCTGACCACTTAGTTCAGTTATTATTGAACTTTCATCTTTGGGAGAGCAATCAATCTTACCACTCACTTCCACTAAACATGGAAGATGTGGTTTCTGCCAGGCACACTATTCCATTGGCAGCATTTTCAGATTGCAGTCACTATGTGTGGTTGTACTCAGATAATGCCAGGATTGTGTCATCAAGCTACTGTAGAGATAGACTTAAGACATATTTGTCTAAGTCTATATGGTAATGTTTACATTTAAACATTATCATTATAAAGCACAGCAGTGATCAGAACGTAAAATATGTAGGAGTTTAAAAATAATGGTACAAAAGGGCATTAATATGAAAAAGTTGAGTGTGGTGCAAAATACAGTAGAACATTGAGATTTGTCCTATTTAAGTACTTTTTAAGTATTTAAGTATTCAATAATGTACTTGTAGGCATTGAAGTCGAACAATAAACCAGTAAAGTGGTTATTTAGCTTGTACCATCTGCATATTGCATGCCTGCTCTTTACCTAATCAGCTCCTTGCCTTGTTTTCTTTGGATCTATCATTAGTTAGTGAATTCAAATATGTTGTTTTTCAGTTTTTTTTATTTTATTTAATGCTAATATTTATAATAGCTGTCGATTAAATGTATCACATTTGTTTTTAAGCAGCAGGTTATTACCTGATATACAATACTCTTTATGGTAACACTCTTCCTGATATAGATGAATATAGGGAAAAGCTTGTTTGAATACGGTAAAAATGTAAATCACTTTGCTTTCCATTCTTTCTGCAGAATAGTGGTACACTTTTTTTTCCTTACAGATTTACACACCTTGCTGTAGACAGAAAGCATATTTCTGGTTTAACAATTATGCATTCATGCTATTTTACTTTTTTTTTTTTGGACAGTACCAGAGGATTTCATGGGAAAATTAAATCAAACATTAGCTAAAGTTATAATAGTTCTGGTTCAACTTAATTTAACTCTGGGAATGGACAGTAGGGTGTGCTAATAGCTTAATGGTCATTTGTTAGGTACAGTTCTCTGTTGCTGGTTTATTAAGATGACAGCAATCAGATATTTGAATAAGAGTTCCCTAAATCAAGCACAAAGTGATATTGACCTATCTTGATTAGTTTAGTGTAAAGCTTTGAGCTGTGCATATCTCCAAACTCAGCCAAAAAAAGTTTCTTCAAACTCTAGTTTAGAACAGAAAGTGATTTATGTATGCACTTGCTCTTGACCCGTTTAAAGGCCTAACTTAACTTGCTGAGTATGGATGTACCTATTCTTAGGTAAATATTACATAAAGCTGAGATAAATGCACCTCCTCTCCAGCACATTCTTGGCTCATGAGATATGAGGGTAAGCGCATGTGAATTTATAGAAAATAAAACAAGGGCAAATTTTTTTCACAGCCGTCTTTTTTAAAGTTACATCTCATTCAGTCAATATTTCTGGGATACTCTTCATCTTGAAACTGCGGGACTTGAAGTTAAAAGACAAATTTAGAGAGTTAATAAGGTCGTATTCTTTAAAGTAGTGGCGGTTCTTCACATGTGTAATATGTTTACTTACCCTGAGGATATTTGGAGCTATTAAGGGCAAACAATATATTTGAAGCCTTTCTATTTCTTTGTTGTGCCTTTAATGAGCTTTAAATTGCCTATCTGTGTATTCAAACTGGGTTAACCGAGTTAAGCTCAGCATTGGCTACCTAAATTACCTATTGTTAGTAACAGCATGTTTACTGAAGCTTTTGGTGGGAGTCCTACTTAGGAAAAGACTAAGTAGAGAAGCTCCATAGCTACACAAATGTAATAAAAAAGGCCAGAGTATACTAAAAAATGTCCAAAGTGGTGCTAATTTTATTATTTTGCAGGAGCTCGGATCGGGCAGAAACATTTTGCAGGGCAGCAAGAACATCCACTGAAACCAAAAGCCACATTCAGTTATCTGCAGCAGAAAAAGTAATGATAAAGTGCTTTTTTTTTCATATTCAAGTAATTCATGTATGGGGGAATAGAAAAGCTGACTCGCAGGGACAAAACCTCCTCTGCCTCTTTATGGAGCAGACTAATGCCTGTTTTTTTGTAATTCCTCATTGACAGTTTAGTTGCTATTCACTGCACACCCAAAGGTTGTCACGTCTCTGAGAAAAGTGAGGGGGAAAATAAAAACATCCCCTGTAGACAGTTTGTTCCCCAGCTTGACCAATTACATGTCTGGATCATAGAAAATGCAGGAAAAGCTGTTTAATACTCTTTCTTCTTGGCTTCTCTCTGCGGAGTCAGCATAATTAAGAATTATTTCTCTGTCTCTGCTTGTCATACTGAACATCTTTGCTCTGTTGTGAGAAGTAGGGTTCTTACAGTTCAGATATAATATATAATTCCAACATGCTGTGACAGAATATTCCTTAAATGTGTTATTACCCTAATGTCCTTTAGTTAATCTTTTTAGAGTTGCTTCTTAGATAAAATACACGCATAGCTTGAAACAGTCCACCGTGTTACATAGAGATCCACTCAAAGAGTCTGAAAAATAAAAGATGGATGGATGGATGGATGGATGGATGGATGGATGGATGGATGGATGGATGGATGGATGGATGGATGGATGGATGGATGGATGGATGGATGGATGGATGGATGGATGGATGGATGGATGGATCAAAATAATTTGTTTTTGTCCTACATGTGTCAAGAGTAAAGAGTAACTTTAATAGAAATCAGCTTTAAATCTCACACTTTATTCGTCGATATCATCTTTCCCTTAAAACTCTTAAATATCTTTGACAAATATCAGAAAGAAATCCAATAATTTGCAACATGTTTATGATACAAACTTTATACACTAGTATGCAAGTGTTTGAAATGTCTCACAAAATGGCCATCTCTCTCAGCAACACCATGTCGGAGTTTAATAATGTGATATTCTCAAGCTAAACAGAGGGATAGTACTATATCAAATTCCAACTATAGGCCAGATGAATAAGTAATGATATTCAGAACAAAATATCAAATCTGAGAGCAGCAGCCTGGAGTGACTGTGAGGAGATCCCAGAACAAAGGACTGGTGCTGTGCAGCAGACACGGCTCAATAATCTGAACTGTCCATGGTGCTGGAAGAAAATCTACAAAAGAAAAAAACTGAGGTTTCTGAGGGAGCTGGTATAATTTGAAAATCATACCAGACTTTGGGAATGGGTTTTCAAACACCACCGATGTTTATATACAATCATACTCAAAGAAATAAAATAAAAAAATGGTGAAGAGGTATTTTATTTCAGGGACTCATACAGTAGACTGCTAGTAGACGCACAAGGAGCTATGCTTTCAAGCCTCATTTTCTATTAAAAATATTGATTTTTCTCTTACAGAAAATAAAAGCATAACATTAAAGATTAGAATAAACCAGAGCAATAAAAAGTTTTAATTAATCTTCTTTTTATATAGAAATATGGGCTTATTGATAAGTAGAGTAATTTATATTGAAAAAGCATATTAGTCTAAGAAACAAGGATATTCCATATTTGATAGACTACATATTATGATTTGATAGACTGCATTTCATGGCCATGATCATTAATATGTGTGTACCATATGTGGACAGAAAAAATACACAATAATTACCAAGCTGTACAACCAATCCATGTGGTAAACATTTTTTAAGTTGTTTAATGTATTATTAGGCCACCATGGGAAAAGACTGGTTGAATAGCATCAAATGTCCAATCTTTTATGGCATAGTTAGTGTACATACACTTTCCACACAGCTAGCTTAGTTTTGAGTTCTGCTACATTTCCTCAGGTATTTAAAATCTTGTTTATACTGAGCTTCTTTAACAGACCACCGCACCCTGATAACTATCAGCAACACATTATCAGAATTATCAGAGGTTGAAAAAGTTAATCTGATACTATTAAAAAAAGCATTTATTTCTTACTCCTCTTTACCATCTCCTGTTTCCTCCGCAGACAGTAATTTCTTGCTGGGTAATGCCCAGGGCCACCGTGGCTACCCCATCGTTTACTGCTCTGATGGGTTCTGCGAACTGACAGGCTACACCCGTACTGAGGTGATGCAGAAAAACTGCACCTGCCGCTTCTTGCATGGTGCTGACACCTGCGAACATGTGGCCCAGCAGATAGAGAAGGCTCTGGAAGGACGAGAGGAATACCAGGCCGAGGTCCACTTTTACAACAAAAATGGTGAGTGCAAAAAAAACCAAAACAGTTCTTAATATTTGCTGTAAAAAAAAAAAAGCTATTTTTTTCATTTTGGAAAGCGCTTATTCTGAATTGTTGAGGTATTTCTCATGTCTGGCTAATTGAAAGACAGTTATAAAGAAATTAGCATTTGTTCAGCTCTTGTCATTTGGATTTCTGGATTCGGTATTGATTTTAAAATACCTGTGGATCAGGTAAGAGCACCATAGCTTTAGTTAATGTATTTCTTTCTTTTATTACATTGTTCAAGCAGGATTTTTTCCAGCATCTCAAAGATTAAACTTATTTGTAGGTTAAACCTGACCGTTTCAGTTGAATTAGAAATGCAGACAGCGATTCTTTTGGAGAGTTGCATTCTTGTTGATATTCATTATTACAAATACAAACAAATCAGATGTTGAGAAAATGAGAATCAGCAGAACACTCTGATTAACAAATCTTTAACCTGTACTGGAAGAAGCGCATTAAGATGTGTGGTGTGAATAAGAGAGCCTCGACTTGTTTCCTGCATGCTGATTGCGCTTTCTGAAAGACATCACAGAACAATGTGTTTCTACTCCATATGAAATGAACCCCCTCCCTGCTGACATTTTGCTAATCCCTCAGGAAGCTGAAACATACTGTCATACATGAGCAGAGAGCCCATGCCATAGTCGTCTTTAAGCCTAAATGATTGGCGCAAAGGATTATATGTGTTCAACAGAAACCTGCAGCCTCAAAATGTGTGAAGTAATAGGTTAGAAATTATCCACTGTTGCTAAACAACAACACAATTTCTGCTGTTTTCTTTTTTCATACATACGTTTTCTTTTTTCATACATACGTCAAGTACACTAAAAGAGATGATGAAAAACATTGACGATGCAGCAGAGCATCATTTCTGCACATCTGCTAATGAAAAAACTGGATACTGATGAGGTATGATGTCTTTAGAATAGACTACAATAAAACAGAATAGAATGCAATAGAGTAGAATAGAATAAAATCGAATAGAATATTATATAATATGATAGAAAAATCCTTCATTGTCCCACGTGAGGAAGCGTAGGTGTATCATATGCCATTAGAGGAACATTTGACAAAATATTAAAAAAACATCAGACACGGGGCACTCAGAAATGAGCAACAAAGTTGGTTGATTTTGTATTTATCAAATATTATGCATAAAAAGGAGTAATGGGTAAACTAAAAATAACAGCAGGGATGTGTCACTTTGTGCACGATTCTTCAAAACATGTCAGGAAAAGTCTCAAGTTTTGTTGACCTCGTGCCATCTTCATTTTTCTTAAAGCAAATATAAGTAACACTAAGTAAGTAACTTGAATCTACATGAAGTAAAGTTTTAGTTTTAACCTTTTGCAGCTTTTGTTCTCCTTCCAAAATAACTTTTTATTCTCTGAACTAATTAAAGAAGCAACACTTTTCTTAGTGAGAGCAGAGAGCAAAGGAAAGGTGGGGAAGTGGCCACTCTGTTAAGAGATACTCTCAAGTTTAAAAAGGTATTTCTGAGCAAAAATGACTCCTAATTATTTGGCTCACCAGGTAAAGAGCTTGGTTCAAACCATGATTATTAATATTTACAGGCCTCCTAAGTGTAAAACCAACCTTTTCAGTGATTTTATAAGCCTCTTATTTGTGATAAGTGTTGATTATGACTATATAATTATTAACACATTGATGATCCTGAAGACAGAGGTGCAATAGAACTAAGAGAGTAACCAATTTATTAAACATCAAATGAACACATAGGGACATATTTTGGACGTGATCATGACTAAGGGTCGAAACATTTTTAAAGTGTCTGTAACTGACGTTGTCCTACATCAAACGTAACTTTCTGTTATTTTTGTAAGCGGGATTTCCACTGATTCAGATAGCGATCATAGAAAAAAACACTTCTTTAAGGATGGTGATACTAACACCTTCAACCAGATTTATTCCTCTACCTCCACTTTGACCGCTAACTGTAGATGAGCTGCTAGATAACTTCCAACATAAATATCAGTCATTGACAAGAAAAAGTCTGTGGTAAAAAAAAAAAAGGAGTATGAAAAAGCTGATTGCAAATGGCGAAAGTTTCACTCCTGATTCACTCTATCTGTAAAGAGAGACTTTACAGGTATAATTTACAATTGAAAGATAATATTTCTTCTCAGAGATCATTAGCAAAAACATTGACAATGTTTATGCCTCATTTACCACAGTCAACAGCCTAACAAATCCTCCTCTAATTGTAGCATCTGTACTCAACTCTACTATCAAACTGATATTTTTCTTACAAAAAAGACACGAAAGATAACAGGGACAGTCTGTGCTACATGTCAAGTGCAGTAACAAAGTTTGTCTTCAACAAGAACTGATCTCATTAAATCCAGATTTCACCAAATAAAAGAAAAAAACTTAGAAGAAAATAAACACCAACTAAGCTCTTCCTCCTGTTGTCTAGATCTTTATCCCACAGCTTTCCTTACTAATGCTCTGCCTGTCATAATGTCTAAATTGACTCAAATAATAAACAGATTTTTTCTGTCAGGTGTTTTCCCCCAGGACCTAAAAACAGTTGTTATCAAACCGCTGTAAAAAAAAAAAAAAAAAAAAAAGTTGGATAAGCTGCTTCTGCAGAACTGCATATTCATCTCAAATCTCCCCTTCAGCAGTTGTGTTTTAACAGCTTTACACCCTCCTAACAATGACAAAGCACTTTGACATCTTCCAGTCAGGCTTCCATGCTCACCGCAGTACGTAGGCTGTGCTTATAAAGGAGTTCAATGATGTTCCTATTAAAGCAGACTGTGGAAGAACCCAGTGCTGGTGATTTGAACCTTAGTGCAATAAGACCACCCCAATTTTTTTAGGGGACCTTGAAAACTGGATCGGCCTTTCTGGTACAGCACGTGCAGTTGTCTTGCTACTGAAATCTTTTATACAAATACATTTGCCTTGTCTAAAATTTGTCAAAAGCAAAAAAAAGAAAATGTTTATTTTTATTACTTAGATTACTCAATGCATTTTTATTTTTTTGTAGCTACAATATTTAGCTGCCTCTTTGTCACGTAATGATAATATTTCCACTAGGACAATAAACAGCATCATGTGAGACAGCAATCATTGATATAAAGCTCTGCAGTTAAATTGGATTTTACTTCTATATTAAAGTAAAGGTTAAATTACTACATAGTTGATTTTTGAAACTGTATCCAGGCTCTCATATGTGCAGATGCTCTAATTAGAAGGATTACCATTACATCTGTCTCTGTCTATTCCTTGACATGTTTGCAGATGCTTACCTTAGCTGTAGGATTTTCCAAATGACTGACAGTTCTGGGATAGCAGGAGCTGGATTCTTCAAGCATTAAAAAGAGGAGCCTTTCTATAAGCTGGATGGTAAAAGAATGGGATATTTAGTTTGAAATTAGGGGGAGTAAAGTCCCAGTTGGAAACTAAAAGTTAAAGATTTCTAGGTATTAGCAAGTTCAGCTTCCATTATTTTCATAATATATGTTACATTTAAAGATTTATTCAACTTGCAGCAAACGTCTACACACTGCAGATTTAAGTTTGAAGAATAAACAAGACAAAAGGCACCAGAATAACAAAAAATAGACGTTGGATGAGTTGTTAAAGTTACTATCCTGATGTTTCTTGCCATGCATTTTTCTTTAATAGCTTTTTTAATAAGCTGAAATGTAAAGAAATCAAGGGCAATTAATTTTAAATACACTCTAATCTTTTCCACTCAGTATACTGTGTGTATTGGGTGAATGGTGTCATATATACAGTCTGACACTGTGTCAGATAGCTTGAGCTACTTTTTCCACATCATCGCTGTCTTTCTTCTTGCTCCACTTTTCATAACTAGGATTCATTAGTTGAGGTTTGGATAAAGGTTTATTGTTTTATGCAGAACTGTGTGTCTCCCCCATGTTGTCAATAAAAGTTAGGTTTTTAATCAGAACCACCATACAGTTTGAGCCACCATCAGCACATCATCTGCATTGGACAGCATGAAATGAAGATTGTCATTGGGTAATTGGTGTGACATTTGAGTAGTACTGAGTAGTAATTGTCGAAACACAATTCTGTTTGCACTGTTTGAAGATTTTTCTGGAATCACTAATAACACAAATAATAACACACAGCTGGACATGAGAATTTAGGAAATGGGTATTTGTTGTCAATGGAAAAAAATACTTCTCTATTGAGAAAGATTAACAATGGTATCTTTAATCTTAGAAATATAAGTACACAAAAATAAAGTTTGTAAAAAAAAAAATAAAGATATGCAAAAAAAAAGAAATATCAGCTAAATATTTCAAATTTGTTGTTGTTACCTTTGCGAAGGAGGTTATGTTTTTAGGAGGGTTTGTTTTTTCTGTCACCAACATGGTGCCCCACGAGCACCAAGGGGCCCTCAGGGACCACATGGCATCCCTGAGCATCCTCTGAAAACACTACAACTCAACAGTGGACTAAGTTTGAAAATGTATTTTTTGCTGTTGCTCTTATTTTTTTTTTTAAATCAATTTATAGAGCATTTCATTACAGTATATCAATCATTTAGAACAGGGGTCTTCAAAGTTTTCCAGGCCAAGAACCCCCAAACTGATTTGAAGATGGAGCTGGGACCCCCTAATTATATATATTGTATGAAATTGTGTTTTATTTATCTGGTCCTATAGTCACTCTATTACAGATGAAGTTGCTAATGTAACGAAAGTAATTTCGCCCTGGGATTATTAAAGTATTTCTGATTCTGATTCCTCGTTGATGTTGCAATGATGATTGAAAAACCTCTTCTGCCTCCATTTATCTGTTTACTACAGTGTGTTGAATTCATTTTAATGTGTATTTAAAAACATTTTAATTAGTAGAAAAACATTGCATCAACCGAAACTTTTGTGACCCCCTGATCTGTTGATGGATCTGACCTCGTTTTTTTTTCATCCTTTTAGATATACCTGTCATTTAAGAGGCCAAGACATGCAGGCTAATATCTTAATTGAAAATTGCCTCTTAATCTATGTGTTTAGTACGAACAAAAACTAAAAGAAATGTCATATGCTGCAATACAATTAATAAAAGCTTCACCTTATTCTCCGACTTGGGAAAACAGATACTTGCACTAAATGAATCTTTCTGATTGTGCTTTAGGTGCGGCCTTCTGGTGTCTGTTGGACATTGTGCCCATAAAAAATGAAAAGGGCGAAATGGTTCTCTTCCTCTTCTCATTCAAGGACATCAGTGACACCTATGGAAAGGGACACCACAGCAGCAGGAGGGAGGGTGAGCTACAAAACAAATCTGTTAACTCACTACATGATTTATGAGTGCGCGTCTGCTTTTCTATTCTCTGTTCACTCCTGTTATTCATTGTCAGATCCTCCACTGCACTTTTGTTTGGTCTGGATTTCCTTCACTGATCTCACCGTTTCCAAAAAAGATTTGATTCGGGCACTCAGGGTCCTTAGAAATCTGAGCCCATCTGCTACACATAGTGAGCATGGTGCCAGGGGTTACAGCATTTTGTTAAGATGCCAACCAGGGAATGTTAAACTGATGCTGGAGGTTTTATCAATGAGCGATAACAGAAAAACAAAAAGTAATTCTCCTCATGGGTTTAATTTTTATTTCAAACACATTGCCACTTTCAGAAGACAACGGGTGCAGGAGGAAGAGCAGCTCTCACTTCCGGGTGGCTCGGAAACACAGACGTACCATGTTGTACCAGCTGACGAGCCGCTTCTCAAGAGGGGGTAAAGAAGACGTCAACCTAAGTGGGGTGAGAAGACATTTATTTATTCACTTTTCAGCCAGTTTTAAAAGTTTGTGGCATTCATTGACGGAGGGTTTATAATATTAGAGGAGTATTTTGCAGTAAACAAAAATTCACTTTTCAACTTTTATGTTCTTCAAAAGGGTTCAAGCAAAGACTTGCTCCTGTTAGTGGAAGCTACTTGTAGACTATTTATGCATAAATATACTGTATCAACTAAAGAAAATAAGTTTTATTAACATTACATTATTTCACCAATGAATAAAGTTACTTAATTTAAGCTTTTAGTTTTTTTTGTGACCTAGATTATGTGTCTACAACAAAAGGTGATAGTTTTAAAGGTCACCATCAGGGTTATTTTTGTTAGCTAAAACTAAAATAAAGAATTCAAGCTAAAATGGAGAAAACTTTTTTGTAAACTGAAATAAATAAAAACTATATTTAAAAGGAAGAAAAACATACAATACTCTGACCTTTTTAAATTCTGTACCTAAAAATCCCCAAAGTATGAAGAAACTAAAACGAGTTGTAGAACGTATCGAGACTAAAAGTAAGCTAAGTATTATAAAAGAATAAAAAAAATACCTGGCCAAATTATAAAAACTTACAGAATTAGAGAAAAATATAGGAACAACTATATTCAACTTAACTAGAATGAAACATGCAAAACTTTTGTAACCTTGGTATACAAGAAGGTCCATAGAAGAGCACAAAATGCACTTTAGGCTTTAATGTAAATGAGAAAATGTAATAAAATAAAATGACCTGCATCCAATGCAGGCTTGTCATCATTTAAACACCTCTAGTCCATCAAATAGAACTATTAGGATCATTATAACACGACAAAAAAAGAAAACTCCTGAAATATGTAGTAGCAAATAAGTCTATGTCCAACTATGGAAACATTATGCATTTTTAAAGCTGCTACAAATGAAGTATGACTGTTTATGGAGTAGGCTAACCTCAATCCCAAATTTATCTAATTTAGGAATAGTGAAAGATTTGGACTGCTGTACTTCATTGTCCTTTCAAGTGTGAATCTTTCTCAGGAAGCTGTTTATTGTGACAAAAATGATAACACATACGGTCTAAAAAGAGATTTTTATGATAAAGCCTTCTATCCTCCTCTATCAGAAGTTGTATTCATAGAATTTCTCAATCTAAAAAAAGGAGCAGCTTTTTCTAGGAAATAATCTAACATGGTATGTTCCTCAAAATGTGCCTTTTCACCAAAAAGGCTTTAAGAAATTGTAAAAATCTTGAGTGCAAAAGTGATTCAAACTCAAACATATAACCTATACTTTTTTTAAAGCTCCTAATTCCAGCAACTATAGTTACTTAATGGGCCTACTTTTTATTCTAAGCCACACCTGGAATGATGCGTATTAACCGATCAAGTAGTTTTTACTTGACAGAATCAAACCCGTTTCTCCAAAAACCTATAAATCAACTTAAATGATAAAAAAAATGGTAAAAACAGAAGATCAATTGTAATAACACTGCAATAAGAATTACAATAATCTGTTTTATAAAAGCCTGTTAGAAAAACAGGTCTTCATTTGCCTTTTAGAAGAATAAGCATAGTAAGCTTTAACATGAACCCATCGCAGATGAAGTCTCAAATGCGAAATTAGTCTAATTTCAATTTCTTGTATTCAGGATCTTATCCTACATTTACAACAACTAATTAAAGTTACTACGGTATTTTATTTCCCTTTGGAAATCAATTAACCTGAAATGCAGTTGATGGGTGGAATCGTTTAAAAAGGTTTATTAAGAGATAATTCAGTGTTGCTGGAAAGGAGCTGGTTGCAATCAGTGTGGGGAGGAGAGCTGGGTTAGAAGCAGAGAACAACTACATGGTGTTGAGGATGTATTGAGTAAAAGCCACTGAACCTCTCAGAAACCAGGAGGCAGGAGGCTCTGATGACTAATCCTAGTAGGTCTTTATGGATGATTCATATTATAGATTGCCTGATCTCTTGTTGATTTACCTTAGACAACAAGAGATCTCTTGTCTCTTGTTGCCTAAGGCTAGCAGAAGGAGTCTGAAGGTCATGCACAGGGAATCAGTTTTCAGGGTAGAGGTTTCCAAACGGACTAGTGAGAGAGAGTGATCGAGAATCCAGTCAAGAAAATCAGTAACAGAAGGTGCCTAACCAGGCAAAGGTATACATGAGAACAGAGGAGTTTAAAACTAAGATCCTGGATGTTCTACTCACACAAATGGCTTTCATTAATCGGGCGATTACCCACTGGGAGAGCCATGCACACACCGTGCTCCTATAGGAGGTAATTTAACAGTTTTATTTAGGTAGAGGAGAAGAGAACCATATAAGAAAGGAAACACTAAGGGGTATGATACCCCTTTTAAATCAAGATGGTATTTTTATAAACAGGCTATGCTGAATCCCTCTATGGCTATCCCCGAAACATTTCACTTCTTGCTGTCTGACAAGCAAATAACTAAGATTTCTCTTCTTTTTTCCTCACATGCGATATCCGCTATGAATAGCCTGGAGGCCAGCCTCTAAAACGAGAGAAAAAGCAACATGAAATAGTCATGCTCAACCATCGTTGAATAGTGCCAGCAGAAGCCATTAAAAGATCAACAGAGAAGCATAGATATAAAGCCAATATACAAAGCTGCCTCCCAAGATGCTGATGTGTTGTTGTTGTTTTTTTTGTCAGTTATGTTTCAGTTTGAATGAAAATAGCTGTTTCTAACTGACAAGTAACTCAGTGGGATTTCATGCTTGTCAGTTAACCAGAAGAAAGGGACTCCGGACTTGTAGAAATATCCAACTTGCTATTTTCCTCACCAAATACTTTAAAATGCAGGAGATGAAGCTGAATTGCAAGATTTTAAACAGCAGCATCTTAGAAGAGGAAGAATGACGCAAAGGTTGTTGAAATAGAACAAGTCAATTTTCTCCAATCCAGCTCAGCAGCTTCCGGGATAACTCAGGTTAGCTTCTCTGTTACCCAGTGTGAATGTCCCTGAAGTGGCTACATTGAAAGTTGCATGTCCATATGTCTTTTTTGTCTCTTTCTTCAAAATCTAATAGCTGTTAGATGCTCTTCCTCATCTCTTTGCTTGATCTGTTTTATTTTTGAAAAGTCTTCAAGTCTGAAACAAAGGTGGTATGGATTGTGTAGCTCATTAGAAATGCCTTCAAAATGAAACTTCATATGTGGACTAAAAAAAAAATGTGTTTAGAGATAAGATAGTGGAAGATCAGTATTTTAGTTACAGTCTATTCAAATCTGTTAACATGCTGTGTTATTTAGTGTTTGCATAAGTGTGTGCATCTTTGAGAAGAGTTGCCTAGTCTACCTTGTAGAAGTTCTCTTGTTAAAGTCAGTCTCTTGTTCATTTAGAGGTAGTGCTTGTCTCTGAGTGCTGAAAATAAAATGTTTCCTTATTTATTAAAAATTTTATTGGAACTATTTATTAAACATCTAAAATAAGCCTCATTACATAGTTAACCCCAATCCGATGATGGGGTTGTATCCAGGGTTGCCTAAAAGAAAATGCTTGTTTTCATTTAACATTTAAATCAACAAAAATACTGTTAAGACATTTAAAAAAGCAGGTCAAAAATTATGAAGAACATTTGATGAACAAATTATTGAAAAACATTTATCTAATATCATTTTTTTACCTTAAGATAACCCTCCATTTCAATAAGAACACAGATAACTTTAAAAGAGACATAACCCTAACCTTCCTTTCCCCCAAAAAATATCTTACTTTTGAACTAAACTCTGCTATCTGACACTCTGAGCGATAAAGCTCAGCCATGTATGAAATTACCAAGCCCTTTAATTGTAATAAGTTTCCTCTTGAATGACCACAGTTCTTTTTTTTGTCATTTTATGGTGTTTCATTACAGACTTTTGAGGGACCTATTACTGCCTGTACTGGAGTCTGTCTGTCAAAGATTACCCCCAACATCAGTGTATCGTTTTCACTTGAGCTGCTGCTTTTCTCAATGATCAGCGGACAGCACACACAAGAGAGGGTGTTGACATTTAAATTGTCAGTATCCGCAAAATGTTGCTGCTTTATTATCCATCTGATTATCATTTATGGTTCCCCATCCCCATCCCATCGTGACCATCTGGATGTTATGTTATTCATTTATTCATTTGTACAAAGGCCCTTATTGCGTTTTGAATAATTAACAAATCAATCTTGAAATTCAAGTGCCCATCATTAGATTTTCACTCTCACCAAGCAAATGTTCTCTTTACTTGAAATACTTTTGTGTGGTTCTACACTTGCTTTAGGGATTTACATCTAGTTCAACTGGTTGTTAAAAGAAGTCATTGTATTTCAATCACTGCAGCAGGCAGCTCTAGATCCAGTGTAAAATGACAGAAGCTTCCAAAGGCATTAGGGCTGCTGCTAAAAGAACTTAAAAGCTGCAGTTTAAGTGAAGTGTTAGCAAGCACTACTGTTCTATATACAACTGTTGCAAAACTTTTCTATTATTTTAACTTTTAATTTATTTCATCTTGCTATAATAAGAACCCTATTTTGATCACCAGAATAAACGAAACCCATTTCTCCTTTTTGAGTAACTGGAAAAGTTAAAATACTTAAGATAAAGCATTGTCTCTTATCTCAAAAACATAAAAAAAAATATATGATTTTGTGTTCTAGGGCAACAGAAATGTTGATGAATATAAGTTCTTTATTTTCTGCCCCGTTTGCAGATTAAATTGTGAAACATGCTCTCAATGTCAACTGATACGAACTTCTCCCTCCTTGTCTAGAGTTTTCTTCTTCAAATGACACTTCTTTGGTCTTGTTGTATGATTGGATTATAATTTTTAAAGGCGAGATATTTTAGAATAAATAATTTGGATATAGATACTGTAGCTGCTGTCTTTTCATATGAGTGAAGTATAACCACATTTTGTTTTAAAAATTCTTAATTCCACTCAAACAATTTCCCTTTGTAAAACCCTTTTATGTCTGTATTTTCAGCAACATTTTTTGCTTGCACTGTTCAGCAAACCATAGTTTAACCCTGAGCGTTGACCTTTCTAGCACTGGCTATGCCAGATGCTGTAGGTGTTGTTATATCTATATTTAATGCATATACAATACGTATTTAAGGATGCATATTTAATGACCCTTATTATAATAAAATTCATCATAAAAAAGAGAAAACACCCTAAAATGTACAGGCTGTTTTCTTGAATTCTTGGTTCATTCAGGTAAATGACTGGACCAGCAACAGACAGCTCACCCACACTATATGTTTAGTTTTTAATCATCTCTTTCACAGAAAATCTGGTTTATCCAGAGCTTGACTGTCTGTGATTCATCAAGATTAACTGTATAAACAATGGAAAAACAGACAAATACACTATAAAACTTTTCTAGATGTACATAATTTGCATATACATTTAAATTTAACAATAATATATTCTGTAAGAAAAACTATGGCCTACTGCTTTTAGGTATTTTGGTCCAAAAGCTGATGAAAACTGGAACTCAGAGTAGTTTACAAGTGTTTGGAATACATGCGGTTCAGGAGGTGAGATCTGTTTCTGTTTGTTTTCTGTTGTTGTTTTGTAATTTTTGTTTCTTAAATAGATATTTACCAAACAATAAACTATTTCAAAGAATTGGAGACGACTCTACAGTATGATAATTCAGTATAATGTTGCCTGCTTATCTTATTTTAAGGTGAAGCTTAAGGTGAAGTTATTTCTTTTCATGCAAATTGAAAAAGGTTCATAAATTCCACACTGTGGTTAAAAGAGCTATTGTTCAACATAGAATATTCAATCTCCTTTTGGTGTTTTAGATTTTAAACATTTACACCCAAACTGATGCTCAGTAAATCAAAAATCTGTGGTAGTCTTTAATACCAATGGCTTAAAACTATCGGTGAACTATTATTTTATTACTACCGTCTTTATTAATAGCAACAAATAATTTGATCTTACAGACAATGGTGGACAGGCCCTCTGTACCAGAGTACAAGGTGGCTGCAGTGCAGAAGTCCCGCTTCATCCTGCTCCACTACAGCGTATCAAAGGCTCTTTGGGACTGGCTCATCCTGCTTGCTACCTTCTATGTAGCTGTCACTGTACCCTACAACGTCAGCTTCTCTCCACATGATGACTCCATCCCTGCTTCTCGCTCCACCATCGTCTGTGACATCTTGGTGGAAATGCTCTTCATTATTGGTAAGAACTGATATAAAGAAAAGCAGTTGGAAAATTTCACAATTTCTCTTGAGATTCTAAGACAGACAACCAGTTGTGGTCACTTGAAAAATGGCCGAGCGCAAGCTCAGGAGGTTAATGTAGAGGGATCCATTGAACATAAAGTGTTTGTCGTTTAATAGTCATAGGACCACATCTGTGAGACTATAAAGGGAAAATCTCTGTTTCAGTTTTCCTCATCATTGCTTTGAATTTTTTAGACATCATACTGAACTTTCGTACCACCTATGTGAGCCAGTCGGGTCAGGTGGTGTATGAGGCACGCTCTATCTGCATTCACTATGTCACCACTTGGTTCTTTGTGGACCTTGTTGCTGCCTTGCCCTTTGACCTACTCTATGCCTTCAACATCACAGTGGTGAGCATTACAGTAGCATTTCTATTACATGTCTGCAGAACGTGTTACTATCTTTCTATGGCACATTTTGCTAAAAAATATGATAAAGTCAGAAGATAGTTGGAAGAGGGACTTATATTCTGAAAGTTTTGTCCTCTGTTTAGACCTCTTTAGTCCACCTGCTGAAGACGGTTCGTCTTCTGCGTCTCCTTCGACTTCTTCAGAAGCTTGACCGATACTCTCAGTACAGCGCCATGGTCCTGACCTTGCTGATGTCTGTGTTTGCCCTGCTGGCGCACTGGATGGCCTGCATCTGGTACATGATTGGTCGCAAAGAATTACTAACCAATGAAACCTGGCAAATAGGTGAGTCTGGGGAGCAAAATACGAAATGATAAACAATAAATGTTATTTTTTGGTGTATTTAATCCCTTTTCTCCTTCTCGAAATTCATCAGATACAACAAAACATTCCTTAAAATCAGTTAATATCTGTTGTGCATCTGTTTTGCTATAAATAGCTATGCCACCTGCTTGGTTGTGATGTGGCTGTATACACCAACTGTCTGATTAGAAACATATACAAAACCTAAAAACAAAACAGTACAGGAATCTTTTTTGTAGAACTCTGCTAAAAAAAAAAAAAAAACTGCAAGCTTTATAATATTTTTTTAACATTTTATATTACTTACAAAACCACCTGTATATTTTTGTGCTATCAAACCTTTTTTCCATCTACAGTAATTGTTCTTTTCAATATATCATCTTTCTCAATAGATGAAAGACACCATTACTTTGTCAGTTGACACGTTTAAATGAAAATCCGCCTTTGTAGTTTACAATTTAAAATATTAGGCAGAGATGAGGACTAAACTTGCATCTTAAAGTCAAGTTGTAATTTGTTAAGACCAAGATGTCTGATTTGAATTTAACTCTAAAGCCTCAGAAGCAGCATTCTTATAAAAAAAAGGTCACCATAATCTAAGACCCATAAAAATCTCGCAGAAACAAGGCCCTTTTTTACTCCAAAAGAAAAACATGTCTTATTACGAAAGAAGTCCAGCTTAACTTTTAATTTCTTAACAAGTTTATCAATAAAAGGTTTGAAAGTGAGGTAGCCATCAATTAAAATTCCAAGGTATTTATATTCCAAGTAGCTCATAGGCATGAGGAGAATTATCTTAAATAACTCTTAGGTCATATTTTGGCAATCAAATGTAATGAGTATATCAGGAAATGCATAAATGTTGATGGTTAGTGTTTTTTTTAGTGTTTAAGCCCTTAGTGAAATATAGTGTGTTTTAGCTTTATAAACATTAGCTCAACACATGTCAGTTAGTGGTCACCTTTAGCTTCTTGTTAGATCCCTCCTCCAAGTGTAAAAGCCAGGAATGTGCCTCTCCACACTGTTAGTATTTCCTAAGATTAATAAACTGATAGTGTTATTTAGAGAAAACTAAAACTGTGTCTCTGGTTTGGGAGAAAGGGGTGAGGGTGGGAGTAAAGGGGTCAAGCGTGCTTACCTGGGCTTTGCAATTATTTGGCGAGAGCTTTAGCCGGGTACAGGTGGTTCGAAACTGGGACTGTCTATGGAGATCGGGGACTTCTGGTCACCATGCTTTACACAACAGTGAACATATTAAAGAATAATAATAATAAACTATAAGAACTCTTAGTGTTTAGCTGGAAAATATTTCCATAACTTAGCCATGATTGTAACCTCTGTTTATCTCTGTTTTAGTAAGGTGAAATGTCTCCAAAGCTCAGGAAAGCCTAGCCTAGGCTGTGTTGCTGGGTGATTCTGTGGCCTGAAGGCCTAACAAGAAGACTTTTGTCCTTTTTGGTCTTCTGGTTCTAGATGTAGTCTGAGTCACCCCTGGAGACTCAGAGAGAATATTACAGTCTGTTTCACAGCAGTCTACGTTTTAACTAGACTCTAGGACTACTTAACTTGAGCAGGGGTTAAGGAATCAACTAAATTTAGCTATGTTGTTTTGTTCTCCCTGATGTGACCTTACTGGAGAGCCACAGCAAAAGAGGATGGGGTCTGTGAGTAGATGCATTTTGTCCCCCAACTGCTTCAAGAGCTTGCAAAGAACCAGCATGGACATTTGTCCCCAATGAGAAAGTTAATGTTACGGTTCATGGCATACCAAAGCCATCCAGTTTTAAAAGCCAGCCTGGTATTACTGTTCATGTTGTTAATTTGGAAAATACTCGCATAAAAAAGCTGGCAAATATATTTGTTTTGCTCAGCATACTTTTATAAACATCATACACTTAACTGACCAACATGCATAGAGGGGAATATCTTTCTAAAAATGTTTTAATCTGCTCTAAAGGATGGCTCCATGAACTGGGCAAACGTCTGGAGACTCCATACATCAACAGTACAGTGGGCGGCCCGACGGTCCGAAGCTCCTACATCGCTGCTCTCTACTTCACCCTCAGCAGCCTAACCAGTGTGGGCTTCGGTAATGTCTGTGCCAACACCGACGCTGAGAAGATATTCTCCATCTGCACCATGCTCATCGGTGGTAGGTTTGACATCAGGTCGTCTCCGTCTCTTTCTAGCAGTGCAACATAGCTCTATCTCTGTTTGGCATGGCAGTCTAATAAATTTAGAAGGGCGTTGGGGGGTTAAGACAAACAGCTTGGCAGGGTTTGGAAATGACACACAATCAGTCATATTTTAGAAAAATATTATTTTAGCTGAGTTAGCAACGATACATAAAACAGCCCAGAGGGTTGTATTTGGTTTATTAACTGCCTGCAAGACTGGTGATTTAAACAAAGCAGGAATTTTGTGTTATAATCCTATCGATGAATGAGCCAGTAAATGTTCTAAAGTTAAAATGAAAATGTTTGCAGATATATAAATTGACTAACTTATTTGGAGTACAAAAAATACTTTTGGGATAACAGTTTTATCCCATATCATTGAACTTGGTACATTACTTATCAGAATCCAGAGAAAACATATGAAAGGATGCCAACAGAAGAACTTGGTTACTGTGTGAGTAAATCAGGTATTGTAGAATAGTATGAGGTTCATATAAAGGGCAGGAAGGCAGCGTTGAGTTGTGATGTAAAAAGGATCTCTCTTTTAAAATTAGAGATTACTTTCAGGAAAAAATCCAACTAACCTAAATAATGAGTGTTAATTAGTTAGTTAAAGCAAAAATAATCAGTCAATAAATTTAACTTTCGTTGTATATTGTTAATAATTGGTTAATTTAGTTTTAATGTCTTAAACATTTAGTTTATATTTCTTTACATTTTGGCAGGTCTAAGCACCTAAAACATCATACATACATACAGGGAAAGAAAGAAGGCACAGAGACAATAATTTAGTTACTCGGAGGAGAATAGGAAGGAGACTGCGGAGTTTACAATCTCCACCCCACTCTGCAGTCTTCAGCTTTCTCCTTGCTATTTATTGAAGAAGGGGATTCCCTAATTACATCAGCTGAGGTTTAACTAAAGAGAAAGGGAAACAAAACGATCTTACTTTAAACCTCAGCACATATGTTAAAACAAAGCATGTGGTTGTTTTACAATTGAATTGTTCCAAGAACACATGTTTAGAAGAAACATGTGATAGAGGCTGTTCAGGTCTCTTTTACAACCCAGCATGAGATAGAGGATGTTCAGGCCTCCTTCACAACCCGTCCATTGCATGACCTTAAGCAAGAGTTAATAAAAGATGAATCACACATTATACATCATAATAGTTCATTAGAACACAACCCATGAAACACAAACAAAGTATAAATAAAATATTTCTAACACATTTTTAAGTAGTTTAAAGATGGTTCCATAATAGGTTTCTAAATTGATACAGCTAAAGATTTTGTTTCACATTATCAATGTTGGCTACTAGGATAGCCACATCTGAAGAGAGCTGTGGACAGGGAATGTCCACAAGTGAATCAAATAGCTAGCAAACAGCTCCCTGCAAAGCTGAATGACATGCCAATGAGGGAATTTATTCTGGTGTGTTTCAGACGAGATGCATGTAAAGGCTGCAGGAAAGGATCAATAGATGGCAGGATTAGAGCACCCCAGTTTGAGGGCATGTTGTTGTTTTTATTTTTATCTTTGTTGTTGTATTCACACATGATGTTGTAACCTTTTTTTACACTGGAAAAACAATCTAGAAATAAGTAAAAATTTCTTAAATTAAGTGTATTTACCCTTAATTTGAGTAGGTAAATGAGATAGTTTGCCAATGGAATGAGTATGTTTACTCTTAAAATAAGACAATTAGATAATATGCACTTAAAATAAGACAAACCAATTCTGTTTTTTTTTAATCTAAGTGTAAATTGTCTTGTTCCATTGCCAAAATGTCTCTTTTACCTCTTCAATCCAAGAACAAATGCATCTTATTTTAAGAAAAAATGACTTATCTAGATTTGATTTTTTTCCAGTGTATTTTTTTTACATTTTAATATGTTATACATCAAAGTTGGTTTTGTTCATGGTATAACTGCACGTGATACAATTGCTTATCAAGAAATCCTGTTTTTTACATCACAAAATCCTTTCACCAAAACAATGGTGTGTATAATTTGTGCAACTGGTTTATTTTTATTATTCAATTTGCTAAATTGCTAGAGCCAGAAAGTATGTTTTTCTTCATGATTAGTTGTGTATGAAATAGAAAAGAATAAGCCAAAGGTAAATAAACAAAACAAAAGCAAAAAAAACCCTGATCATTCAGTGGGGAAGGTGTTTTTTCTTTTTGGCCTTGTCTTTTTATTTCTGTGCCTGTTTTCTAAAAAATATTTTAGGTGATGTTTGGTATTTATAAATGCTGAAAGTACATTTTTTAATGCAGTAGCTTACATTAAGTCATTGGACTAAGGAAGACGCTAATTTCCACCTAATTTGTTTACCTATTCGTGTATCTCAGCCTGGCCTCATTCATTACTGTCTATTGTGCTCTTTGCCTCCATCTGCCACAGCTCTGATGCACGCTGTTGTCTTTGGTAATGTGACGGCTATAATCCAGCGCATGTACTCACGCCGTTCTCTCTACCACACGCGAATGAACGACATGAAGGACTTCATTCGTGTTCACCGTCTGCCCCAGCAGCTTAAACAGCGGATGCTGGAGTACTTCCAGACCACATGGTCCGTCAACAACGGCATAGATGCCAACGAGGTAGGATTCTCTTTTGATTTTGTGAGATGGTGTCCTTAAATGACTTCAAGAAAAGAATCTAATTTTTTTTCTTTCTTTTTTTTGTGAAATCCCTTCCTAACTATTTCACCCATGATTTAAAATATTGCAACAACTCTGGACCTTATTGCAATAAATGTCCCCAGCTCCTCCATGACTTCCCAGATGAGCTCCGGGCCGACATCGCCATGCATTTGAATAAGGACATCCTTCAGCTGCCAGTTTTTAAGGGGGCCAGCCGTGGCTGTCTGCGCTCACTCTCCCTTCACATTAAAACCTCTTTCTGTGTACCTGGGGAGTACCTGATCCGTCAGGGTGATGCTCTGCATGCCAATTACTTTGTCTGCTCTGGTTCCCTAGAAGTGCTGAAGGACAACATGGTGCTGGCTATTTTAGGTCTGTTTGACACCAAATCTATGAAGAATTTTATTTTAATTTAGAAGTTTCAAATAAGAGCAGGACATTTATTGTTAATGCTTTGTATTTTAGGAAAAGGGGATTTGATCGGATCTGATCTGCCTGGAACAGACCAGGTGATAAAGACAGATGCAGATGTGAAGGCTCTCACCTACTGTGATCTCCAGTACATAAGCATTCGTGGTTTGAGAGAGGTGCTGGAGCTCTACCCTGAGTATGGCAGCGTGTTTACCACCGACATCCACAACAACCTGACCTACAACCTACGTGAAGGCAGCCAGGATGAGGTACTGATTTACACTAACTGAGCACAATTTATGTTTCAAATTGCCAGTTTTAGCCCTTACTTTTACGGAACCCCTGCAACTGAAAAATCATCCTCTATGTCTCACAGAGTAACACACTTATAATAGTAATGGTGATCATATTTGAGTGTCCTTCATCATAAGTTTGACTTCGGTCCTGAAATCTCTTCTTTGGCTCCAAGGTTTGACATTAGCTTTTTATCCTAACCAACCACCGTGGCCAGGGGTTTTCCTAGGTTACAACCCACTCAGCATCTTTCTACTAAACAGAATTTTGCAGAGAAGGCAAAAATTTGTTTTTAATAAAAAATAAAAAAAAAATAAACTGGAACAAATCTAATGAGAATCAATTGTTTCAGTTTTTTATTAACCAAGCAAAAAAAAAAAAAAAGTAGAACAAAACTGTCCATTTAATTTGTTTTAAAACATTGTTGCATATAGTAATATACTTGAAAAGTTATGGACGGATTTTAATGACATTTTTATCAGATCACATTTTATACATAAACAGGTCAAAAAGGATGCATGTTGAGGTTGCATGGCCAACAATTAGACAGTGCATCTTCAACTGGTGATGGTGCAGTATGTTCTGAGCAGGACCCTGATCCAATAGTCTGGATCAGATCTCAACACCCCTATTTATTCTTATTTTTATCCCCTTTAATGTAAAAAAACAAGCCTCCTTAGATTAAGTTTCTTATGTTGCACATGCGTTCCCTCCATTTAAAAATTATTCTAAAGTTTTAACTTTAGATCAAGCCATACATTGTTGTTACCCTCTATTCCTTGTGGGCTTGAAGGGGGGTTATTTTCAATTGATTGGCATATTTTAGGCATAATCATGCTTCTAATGCTTTGCAGCAAGTTTCACAATTTTCTTTTTTATTACAACTAATAAAATAGCTGACAGAAAACATGACCCCTTGTATTGTTTGTCTCAATATAGAGACATTATAAATAAACACATTAAGAGTGTGAAACACCCACAAACAAACACACTGCATACGCACTTCGTAAGATAGGATGCAGGATATTTTAAATGACAGAATTTTGCCCCCTAAGGTGCCTTTGTCACTTTTACGTGACTCTTTTTCTGCCACAGCTACCAAAGTCCAATTACCATGAGTGGGTGCCACTGTCAGGCAGGCATATTGTTTCCCCAAAGCCCAGCAGGATGGCACAACACACAGCCAGGATGTGGCTCCCATTACTGTCCATACAGTATATACTATACCAACAGTTATTTAAAAAAGCCTACATAAGTACAAGAACCTGCATCAATTTACATCATAAAAGCTTACACTGTCCATTGCAAGACATTGCAACATAAGCGTAATGTAATCCTCTAATAATAAAACCTCTAATAAACCAGACAAATGACCTATAATTCAGCCTGACGGCTGGTTTACAAGGTTTAGTGTAAATCTGTGAGTCGCTGGAAACTTTTGCAGCACACTGGACAGTCTATAAGGTGTTAAGACAAGATAGTGGCTGTCAAAGTCCCCTTTGTGGACTTCTGTTTAAGTTTCTTTGTAAGTTCTCAGTTACACTTTGATTTAAGTTATTCTGTGTTTTATTGATCATTGGTTTCTTTTCCATTTTGATATATTTAAGCTTTGTTTTATTTATTGTTTACTCTTTGTTGCCCCCTTGTGCTAGTCTCTTTCCCTAGCTCCTTCTAGATTCCTCTGTCCACACCTGCTCCCAATCAGTTCATTATTCAATTCTTTGTTTTGTTTTCTAAAAACCTCCACTCAACTTTACAGCAAATCATAAATTGCTTCAAAGAAAGAGCTCTTAACCTTTTCAGGATCACTATTGAAGGGTTTGAGCCAGACAGAAAACTCTTCCGCGGTTGTGTTTGTTCTAATAATCTGAAAGAATGAAAGAGTGATAGCTTTACAAACAGTTACTCTATGGCCAGCACGCTGTGGCGTGACTGTTTATTTAGACAGAAACCAGGACAAAGCAGGGACGGTAAATTATGAACACTGTTACCTCTTTAAGATCATTTTTAATAACCGTAAATACTTTGTCCCCTTATGAAGGAAGGAGAAACCCGTCTTCTTTAAGTTGGCGGATTGGCAGTGTGCCCCAAAAACTGGGTAAAGGGGCAACGCTGCATTACTGTTTTTACTGCAGTACTTTAGGCACCTCACTATATGGATTCGTAACCATAGCATTTTAAAACCATAATACATCTTATTTCTGGTAACTGTCATACTTAAGTGTGTAAGCAGCTGATATAGAATACAATAAGTTAATGTGTTTTCTAAAACCCCAAACACATCAACAGTGAGATATCCATGGACACAAGTGACAACTCTCTCTTCAACACTTCCTGAAAACTCATCCAAGTCTGTTAGTTCATCAGGCTTTTCTCTTGATCCCCTCTGGTTGTGCCCATTATTAATGTTTGTTGCTTATTAGTTTAATTTGGGTTTTTGTTTTTTCCCTTGACTTTTTTTTATTCTTTTGCGTTTGGAAGGGAAAGAACGAGACATCTGTGATGGGTTTGCTAATTAGAGAATGCCTTTTTGTCAGTCAGGCTGACAGACAGCTTGTGCTGTATTAATGAGGGCTACAAAGCAGATTGAAACTCAATATTTTGATACCCTAATGTAACTACAAGATGACCACCAAGTATATGCATGCAAAAGTGATAAAGAAGTTTATTTTCATCATTCATTTGAATAAAAATAAAATATTCAACAGGCTTTTTTCAGTGAAAATTTTGATTCAGTGAGCGTTCTCCAGGTGGTTCACCAGTAACAGTCTTCGCTCACACCTTAGGGTTCATAACAAGCTGTGTGTTCGTTATGAACCAACGGAGCAAAGAATGATCAAATTCAGAGTGTTTAGAAATTGAAAACTACTCACACACACACATACAGCCAAATAGTTAAATAGTTACGCTCCTGGAGATTCTCCAACAATAGTAATCATTGAATGATTATACAGAAATCAGAACATTATGGTAAAAAAAAAATAGGCCTGTACGCTTTGTCTATATTATATTTTTGTAATCACCTAAAAAGATAATTTAGAGATTTATTTGAATTAAAATGTATCTTATCTTAATCAACTCACAGCTGCCCCCTAAATAGGTAAAAGTGATTAGCTTTAAAATGCTGTTAGTATGAAGGCATCAGTAGTGGTAGTGATTATTTATTTTACAAATTACGCTGAAACTGTAAAGTAAGTTAAATCTATTTTTCATTGCCTTAAGTGTAACGACACTGGAGTTGCATCTCACCAGTTCGTAGCACTTTTTTTTTCTTTTTTAACATGCTAAAAGCTTTTATAAGTTACTTAAGCTACGTTTCGGGAATGTATGAAAAGCCTCAAAGTGGAAAGTAAAAATAAAAACAACAAATTGAGAGAATTTAAACAAAAGGAAAAAAAAACGTAAAGGAGAGACGGTATTCTGTGCTATGTTTGAAAGACAGACCTATGAAGTAATTAATAGTAATTTATTTATTTATTGAATATTACTGATTTTGCAAAAATAAATATTATTTAAAATATAATTCTATATTTAAATGCATCAGTTTCATATATTGTAGTTCTATTTCATTGAAAATTTGCCTCGTTGCAAGATTTTGGTCTGGTTATTGCCTGTACTTTAATAAAAATAAAACCACAGCTTTCAGTTTAATTCTGCATAGAACTACCCTGCTTCACAGTCTGATTTCACTAGCATACATTAAGTAAAATTCAACTGTTAAAATCCCACATTCAAACTTTAGGAGTCATTTTGTTATGTATATGCTAAAGCAGAACAGTTTACATGCCCCAAATGAGATTGTTTGCACATGATAAGTGAGGAGTAAAACCACTACCAGAAAATAGTTTATGCAAACCTACTTTACTATATTGGACTCCTGTGGTTTAAGTGTCTCATTTTCTAATAGCAGTCATGTAAAGTCATTTTATGACAATATTCTATATTAGGAAGATTATCATTCCAGGATGCCTAAGGGTCCTGGAACTATAATGATAAAATTTCCTTATGTGTCCCCATTTTAACGGGCTTAGAGATCCTCTTCATGGCACACCACCGTCTAAACTGATGCAATCTTTATTTTTCTTTTCAACATTGATTTTTAAACCCAGTCATTTGCTATAGGGATTAACTTTGATGCTTTCTTGCATCAAAGAACCGTTTGGCACTGACTGCTCCAGCAACAGGCTGTGGTGTGGGTGTCTGTGTCGGCTCTAGCTAAATGTTTTTCACTCATTCGAAAAAGGCTGCAACATTGAAAAAAAATTAATTACCCTCCATATTGCTTATCAACTGAAACTAATTCTGCCTTGCACCAGGGGAAAAATTAACTAAAAGCTCTAAGCAATTACCTTTAGAAATATTATTGAGTGAATGGTTTGACTTAAATTGCTTCCTGAACATATGTGCATCCCCCACTCTTCCAAAAAAATATAAAAATAGTGTGCCATAGACCCATCCTGAAAGTCCACACATTCTGATGCTAAGAAAAATAAACTTTGAAGCGTCTTCAGTAACTTTTAATTTCCCTTTCTTCCAGTTGCTATTTTTTTCTATAGGTTCATTTACTTTTATTAGTTGAATTCATAACAATTATTATGAGAAAATATTATTACAAACCCTATAAAACCAGCCATCTACGGGAGTTAATAAGCAAACTGCTATCAGTTCATAATTTTTCTGTGACTCACTGCCTATTAAAACTCTGCGCTCAATAGCCAATTGAACATTTCAGCTACTGGAAACGAAAATTTTATGACAGAAATAAATCACATTTCCTAAGAGGAAGGTGAATAGCTAAATAGATAACTAAGTAAATGTTGCGGGGGAAGATGATTATTAGCTTTTTTAACTCAATAGTAATTTACAATGATGAGAATTGTTTATAAGCAGCAGATAGAAAAAAAAAAAGGTGTAACAATGTCCAGTTCTCCTCCATAACTGTGTCCAAACTACACTGAACGATGGATATGTATGCAGACAGAATTGCCAAGGCAGATCTTACTTCCATCTTCAACAGCTCCAAGCTCAGGAAAAGGACAGCTTACATCTCAGGAGACCCCACACATTCTGGACACTGTTTACAATTTTACCTTCAGATCAGTGCTACAGAGCGCAGTGGCGTTTGTTTCTACTTCAAGGTTTCTAAACAGGGTCACCTGATTTAATGGCTACCGGCCTTTCGCACTGACTCCAATCATGATGAAGTGCTTCAAAACGCTGGTAAAGAACACATCGTCTCCAGTCTCCCCCCAACATTCGACCAGTTCCAACTCGCCTACCGACGGAACCCCTCCACTGAGGACGCAATCTCCTCTGCTCTTCACCTGAGCCTAGCATACCTGGAGGAGAAGAACACCGTCGTGCAGATGCTGTTCCTGGACTTCAGTTTAGCTTTAAACACCATCATCCCACAGCATCTGATAGGCAAAATGGAATAGCTGGGCTTCAATTCACCCATCTGCAACTGGCTGCTAGACTTCCTAACAAACCGACCTCAGTCAGTCCAGGTCGGACAGAACACCTCTGATGTCATCTTCCTAAGCACAGGCTCCCCTCAGGACTGCATCCTGAGCCTACTGCTGTTCACTCTGACACCCGACTGCATCTCCAGGTTCACCACCAATCACATTCTGAAGTTTGCAGGCAACACCACGGCGGTGGGACTCATCAGAGGCAACGACCAGGACTACAGAGAGGAGGTGGAGCAGCCGGTGGGCTGGTGCAGAGACAACAGCCTGATCCTGAACGTGGAGAAGATGAAGGAGATCATTGTTCACTTCAGGAAGAACCACCCTAACCACACTCCAATGCTCATCAACAGCTCAGCTGTAGAGGTGGTGAGCAGCACAACATTTGTGGGGTGCAGATCACAGACACCCTCAACTGGAATGTAAACACCACCTCACTGGAAAAAATGGAACAGAAGTGCATGTACTTCCTGCGGAGGATGAAGAGAGGCCACCTGCCCCCACCCATCCTGACCACCTTCTACAGGAGCACCATAGGAATCATTCTGACCAGCTGTCCCACTGTGTGGTGTGGAGGCTGCAGCTCCTCAGACTGGATGAAGGTGAGAAGCATGGTGAGAAAAGCAGAGAGGATCATCTGTGCTCGTCTTCCCTACATAAAAGACATTTCATCTCAGTTCTGCGGGTCCCGAGCCCATAACTTCATCAATTACCCCTCACACCCCCACAAAGGACTGTTCACCTTGTTGCCCTGAGGAAACAGGCATTCAATGCGGGCCCAGCAGATTCTGTAACAGCTTCTTCCCCACCGACATCAGACTGCTGAACTTTTAAAAAAATCCTTTAAATCAAGACTCTGCATCGCACTGATAACACCAAACCAAAATACTGCATATTTGCACCATATATATATGTTTTGAAATGCTCTTAACTTCCATATCAATGCGTTTTTACACCATGTTTTCTTCTCCCACACTATTTACATTTGATTACTACTGCACTTTAGGTAATGTAAATTAATTCACTGCCTGAAAGCTGTACAAAATGCAATATTGTTTTGTATACACCTCTGTATACAAAATGACAATAACAGTTGTTTAAGTCTACGTGAAACTATGTCTTTATTTTTTGTAGAACAATGTATGAATATACTGTATTTACAAAAGTCATGTCTTACCAAAACTTTATAATTTATAGTAAAGATGGGCTTAATTCCTTGTACCAAACAACTTGAAGATTAAAGCTGGTCCTGATTCTAAAGTGCAATTTGATTTACATTTCAGCAGCATGGTTTTAAGGTAAAACTGATGGTTGGATGGAAAATATAATTTGACAGGTTAATATTACAAATCTCATGCAAATCTGTTTATCTTGAAGCTTATCCTAAATAACAAGTTTTATTTCAGTGTTCATAAAACAAAACAAAAAAATGCCAGGACTCTAATATTTTGGATCAGTAATGCTTTTAAGAAGTTCAACATGCTTCAAACATATGTTTTAAAATATACAACAAGTGTTTGTTTTTTTAACTTGTCTTCTTTGTTTCTTTTTTTTTTCTCTCCAGGGCTTAAATAGATTCTGCAAGTCACCAAGACTTCCCCATGTGAGTTTTGTGATTATTGAATATCCTGCCTGAATTTCTTTTTCTTATATGCTTTTTTTGAACATGTTTGCAGGGTGTTATTGATATGCCAAACACTCATTGTCGTAGAGCCTTCTTAAATTCTATAATCTTTTATGCTTATTTTGCTTGGAGTCAGAAGAAATTTCCAATTGATTGAAAACAAAGTTAAAATCAAGACAAAAATGGAGCAATAACATAAGGTTTTTATAGCAGTTTTTTTTTTTCTTGAGGTAACCCCTCCTGTTTTTCTGGGACATGCAGCACTGCTGATGGATTCTGTGGGACGGCCTATGTGAGGTCTTCCCCTTCAGGTTTAAACTAATTTAGAACAGACAGTACAGTTCGGTCTCAGGAGTTAGCTTACAAACTGGGTCAATAACTATGAACATTTTTTTTATCTTGCACCGTAAGTTCACCCAACTTTTCCTTTGATTTCTAAATCTAAGGTCATATTGCTGACTCTATTGATTGCAGGTTACTGGGAGTTTCGGGAGTGATTTGAGGAATTAATCTATAGTAAAACCAAAACAGAGTAAAGGCAAATAAAGCTTAGCACATGATAATAAAACAAATAAAACAGTTTGAACACAACCTTAAACTAATAATACCTCAGATAACAGTTTAACAGTCAACGGCAGCTCTAAACAATTGGGTTTTTAACTTTGACTTAAAGAAGTTAAGCTTTTTTTTTTTATAAATAAAATAAAAAAAACAAAAAAAAAAAAAAAAGAAAAAAAAAAAAAAAAAAACCGTCATCTAAAAGTTTCTTCCAGATAAGAAGAGCATAGGAACTAAATGCTGCTTCTCCATGTTTGGTTCTAGTTCTCGATGTATAGAGTAGGCTTGAACTAGAACTAGAACAATAAACACAGCAAAAGTGACGTCTGATCTAAAAGCCAAAACAACTTGGCTTACATTCGATACACATGGCACAATACTGGTAAGAGAGATTTGGAGGGACATGGTTCTTCCCATTGTTGCCTTTCGTGAGTTCTGTTGCTCTGGTGACATCATCAACACTAACCTAGGTGATGGCATCATCAGACTTGCAGGGGTCAGAGGCCACTCAGCTTGCTAGCGGGGGATCAGACCCAGCATTTATTGCCAATGGGAAGGGAGCCAAATGCAGATTTTTAGCAGGTCAACCCGTGTTTAAAAAACCTGGGTTAACCCCCTAATTTCAGTGGGAAAGAGGCTTCAATAACTGCCTTTATGTGCCTGTGAAGGTTCTCTCTCAAAACCAAGATTTTGGCCATAATTGGTGGTTTTAGTGGTAGCTGAAGCTGTGTGCTAACTCTGGATCTCTCCTCCTTTACTCAATAGACTATTAGCCCAGTTTTGTTTTTATTCAGTTGGCAACCCTCTGATGGGTTCATAGTCACCTGGTGACAATGTTATGTAGAGCTGTGTATTGTCTGCATAGTTGTAATAACTGATGTTGTTGTCTGCTATAGTCTGAGCTAAAGGGATCACGTAGACATTGGATAGTAGGCCCCAGATTGAACCCCTGAGGAACCTTGCATGAGATTTTTCTGGTCTATGATTACACTTCCCTACTGACACATTAAAGTCCCTGTCCTTCAAGTAGGGTTTTAACCAGTCCAGTGCTGAACCAGAAATGTCGGCCCAGGTCTACAGATGCTCTAATAAAATTAAGTGACCAACAGTATTAAATGCTGAACTGAAGTCCAATAATACCAGCAATGTAGTTCTTTCAGAGTCATGAATTTATACGGATGTCATTGAACAGCTTAATCGGGGCAGTATCTGTACTGTGGTGGCACAGAAACCTGACTGGAAGACATCAAAGCAGCTGGTCATTGTTGAGAAGACATTTAACTGTTGAAACACGACTTTTTCAATAATTTTACTGATGAAGGGAGGTTTGAGATGGGTCTTTAGTTTTTTTCAACAATGTTTGATAATTGCTGTTTGTAATGCCCAGTGGGAAACACCTTACATCAGGGATGTCTTTATGATTGTAATCAAATCAAGTCAAATCTACTTGCATTTGATAATAGATTTTGCTGCGAAGGGGGCACACCCAAATCTGTTTAGGAAAAATGTGCTTCTCTCATGGGGAATAAAATCATCACCTTGTCAGATACATGTGACTGCCTAAAAGCATAAAAAGCAAACCCAGAATAAACCTCTTTCATTTGTTCAATATACTGAATCTTCTCATTGTTTCCCTTTCTAGCAGTCACCAAAGCTCCCCTCTATTGTGGAGACGAAGACTGATGACCCCGATGATGCCTTCCAGCTCTCTCCAGCAACACGCTCCAGACGCAATCTATTGCTACCTAATTTCACCAGCCCAGTTCGCCGTACCTCTCTGGGAAACCTGTTAGGTGACGAACTGCGGCAGTTCAATGCTCTGAGACGTTGCCGTTCACCAAACCTCAGTCGAGGATTCCTTGGACAAAGCTTATCACCTCAACCACCTTCAAAGAAAGAACACAGCACCAATATATCCACTCCATCTCAGTCTTCAACTACAGCCAAGGGAGAGTCGGAGACTGACCAAAAGCCGGCAAAGTTGCTTATCCCAACAGTCACATGTTTTCCACCACCAGACCTTAGTCCCAGGTATATCTATGTTTACTTTTAATCATTAAGGTTTGAAGGATGGGGTTAATTTTGGTTTACTGTCTTTTGAGAGCAATGGAGTTTGTAAGAAGCATGAGAGACATTCAGAGGGTTACAATGGAATTTCTTAATTTTGTTTAATTTTAAAACATTATATTTAAAAGACAATGGATGTTAACGTAACAGTACTAGGGTACAATATGCCAGAATTGACCAAAAAGCCTTGTTTTCATCCTTAGTTTGTGGCAAGATATGAAAAATGCCATTTCTAAGATCCTATGAAGTCTTTCAATGCCATCAAAACAGGGGTTCTATAGTACAAATCTGGATTGTTTCCTTAATGTAAATGGGATTTATCTTACATAAATTATTACAGGAGATGCCACTGTATTTCATTACTAGAGCAACTTGTCTTGCTGCCCCCACCATCTGTATCTATAATGCATTACAAAGGAAGCTCCACATATGGGTAAGGGCTAGTTCATAGAGCTCAAATATCTCATCTCATCAAAACTTGGCTCAACTCATTACATCGAAACCCACATGGGCCTCTGCCAGCTGCAGCTCTCATGGCACATTCTTGGGTCATCTTGTGTCTCTGATGATAATTGAAAAAGCTCTACTGTAACATTAACCCATGCTCTCCATCTCATCCCTCCTATCAGGGTTGTAGATGGCATCGAAGACAACGGGCACACGTTCCACTTCACCGTGGAGCACAGCAAGCCTAACTCCAGAACAGGTGGCATCAACCAAGGTAAGACACACCACCCCCAGCTGGGAGGGTGACCTGAAGGCCAGATGGCCTGGAGGTATACCGAAGAGTTCACACTGTTGATGCATTTGAGGCAGACCTGCATCCTTCTGGGGAAATCTGAGAGCGCAGCAGAAATAACAGACTGCCAGGTGTCCACAAAGTCAGAGAACATGTTAAAGGACAAATGAGGAAAGAACAGGGTCCTAAGTGTGTTTTAGTTTTTACTGATCATAGCAGTATTTCTAGGGTGAGTGTAGATTTTAGGTCAAACGAGGTCCATCTAAATTTACTTTACTGAAGCCCCCAAAACTCTTAGCAGTGAAAGTTCAACTTGTAAACTACATGTCTAGTAGGAAAGTCTTTCCAGGTTGACTAGATGTTTTCAATGTTTGTTAATGCAAATTTTAGCAGAAAGGATATTGTTCCTTAGTAAATGCGTTTTGTTTTTTTGTGGAGGGTAAGTTATTTCTACTGCTGAGGACAATTAGTGGTTTCTAGAACAGAAATAGAGCTAAATGGATTTTAAATTCATACCAATCCATCTCAACATAACCATTGTACTTTATAGATTATATTTATCATACATGATTTTACTATATTGACACATTTTTTAACTATGGTTCTGAGTTCACTTCCACCAACCCTGCCAGAAAATCTTCCTGGTCTGCATGTTAAGGAAATCTATGATTCTTTTAAAGCGGAGCTACATTAATTTATAAACAACAATTCAAAACCAATTTAAAAAAAAAAACAAAACAAAAAAACACAGCCTCAAAATTAAGTCATGAATGTAAAGATAGTCACCTGAATAACCAAGAAAATAAACATTTTTTGTAACTAAATACCAATCTGCAAGACAACCATATGGCAACAAAACACTGCCTTGAGTACTTTGGATCCTACATGCTGGCCTCAAATTTATCTTCCAACTATAGACAATTGCCACAAAAAACAACAACAAACAAGACCAAAATAGAAAAAGGTATTTGAAACCAAATAATCATTAATCATGGGGGGTGGAGGCCTAGTGGTTGAGGCATTGAGCTTGGAATCCAGAGGTTTTGAGTTCAAGCCCCGCTCCCTCAGACTGCTACTCTGGGTCCCTGTGCAAAGACCCTTGACCCCCACACTGCTCCCTGGGCAGCTCACAATGGCAGCCCAGTGCTTCCCAAGGGAATGGGTTAAATGCAGAGAGTTCATTTCGTAACTCTGTACTTGTGACAGTGTAATGACAAAAATAAAAAAAACATTAACTAGATTCAGAGGTCACCAACACTTACACACAAAAGGAGGATAATCTTTACCACTACTCAAACTCAATTCACCAGACCAACCTTACCAGGAACCGCTTAAGCAATCTTGCCTAGGACCTAGGAGTTTTGGATAATCAATGATTGGAACCACAACTCCTTTGAGTGAAGTTGACTGAGTTGCACAAGTTCATTACCACCCGTCCAGGTGCTGAAGAAGATATTGTCATTTCCTGCAATATGTTTGCAATACATTGTACTTGTTTCTTTCTCCTGTGGGAGTAGTCCTCTTTCTCAAAGAAACCTGGTGGTAGGAAAAACTTTAAGTGAGGGGCAAGAGATGGTTTGGAGTAAGAGCTTTCAGGTCAGATGGTTCATCAGAAGCCTTGGTTATTGGATGGCCCTTTATTATGGCTTCCACCTCACACAAGCCCTCTTGGCTAGCATCCCACAGAGTGATGCACTGATTGAAAAATGCATCCACAAAGCCTTTGGGTTTGAAACTCCAAGACACTCCTAAGGTTCTCCATCCAGCTCATCTATTGTTGGACAAGGTGTCGGGGAATGGCCTTAACACTCTTGAGATGGCAGAGTTCTTGGAGGAACCTGTCAAGTGTGGTTTATGCTTGACGCGTCTGCGAAGTCCACGCTAAAAAATTATATAATTTTAGGCTTCAACACCTCTCTGTGTGGGATCCGTGTGGAAAGAGTTTCGACATCTGATACCTAGTAACATTGTTAACTACGTGTACAGATCTGTGTTAAAAAACATGGCGAGGGAGCAGTTGCTCCTACTGGCCAGGGCTCGCAAATGTAAACATCTAGTGATCCTGTGATTTGGCTCATAAATACCACTACTATCAACAAATTGTGGAAAAACTCCTGGAAAGAAATTAGTGCTGCTATTGGACGGCATGAAGAGGCTTTAAAAAAGTTGTAATTGGCTGTTTTCAAATTCCTCGTGTGGTGTATCTGGAGCCGTCCATAATGGAGGGAAAGTCACACAGTGCATAAATGCTGCAGACGCTATGACGGTCGGCTCATTTTCCGGGCGCATATTATGTGAGCACTTTAGGGTTTAAGACCACTGGTGCAAGAATTCCCAGCGGGTCATAGACTGAGCCAACTGCAGAGAGGATGCCTCCTCTTGTGGGTGATCTAGTTTTTGAACAATCTTGAATTTGAAACTGTCGTTCTACAACAACACCAACAGGATCCTAAGGCTCGCTTGACAGGGAGCTTGTCTAGGTCAAGAGTGTCTGTTTCCCTTGGCTCCTCGGTTCTCCTTAGCAGGGAGAGCAGATTGGATTGAGCGGCTGTTGCAAACCCACTTAGTGAGCCTAAATCCTCCTGGAGCAAGGATGTCTTTCAGTTCATAGGGAAGGCAAGGACAGTGCCTCATCTTCTGAGTGATCAGATTCAGGGCAATTATTGAAGGTAATAGGTATGTGCACTCTCATACTCAGTAAGGTCTTGCCTGATGTCACCAGAGGGTCAACAGAGAACACAGAGAACTTCTGCATCCTTGTCTGGTGCCTCACTTGGTAAAACATTTTACCGGCATCCTCTTTGACAGCCACCTCCTCTTACCTGAATCTATTGATGATGCAGAGCAGAGTGTTGTTCAGTTATGGGTGCTGAAGCAGCTGGTAGCTTAATGTTGGTAATTTGTAGGATGCTTATAGTCAAAAAAGTACCACATTTTTCCATCATTGAGGTCAATGTCGTCCTCAGGAGATTTGACTGCACAGCCCTTCGTGATCCAGTCTCTAATGAATGCAGAGTAATCAGCAGGGAAATGTGGATATTTATGAACCTCTCCTTTAAGTTGTTTAGCAACTTTTATGCTTTTTAGTATTTCAATGGCTGCTTTCCCCTGTAGTTGTTTACTGAGATAGAACAGTATTTGATAGTCTACTGAGGGACACTGTATTGTACCTCAGTGGTGGACTACTGGGTACCCTTACTGGTCTACCACCAAGGTAAGCTCGGAAAATGTGTTTTGTTTTATTTTCAATTCACATAGCAGTCTAAATCGCTACCTGATACAACTGATACTAACCCTAAGTACAAATACAAGTTATCATGCATTGTCATTATTTAGCTGGTATATTTTTCGTCCTAATTGCAAACTCTGGTGTAATGTTAGAAAGCCTTTTGTTCCAACAAAATAACCAGAGTTTTTGAAATTTGGTCATTGAAATAAAATCATTTAAATTAGGGCTCCTAAGTAAATATCAGCTTTGACAATGTTTTCCCATATTTAACTAAAGTATCAAAAATATATTCAGTAAGAATTCTTTGCATATTGCCCTACATTTATGTGAATTAAATCTAGAGGAAATAGCATAGCTTTCTGTTTGCAGCATGTTTATATAATGTTTTGGAGTTTGGGAGTCTTATTAGGGTCTGTCAATTCATTGTTTATTACTTTAGCCACCTAATTTTGAGAGATCTGCAATTTGAGCCAAGAATCACTGCATATTGCTTGTATATCCTGGACTGAAATTAGCGTGTTAGCTTCGGCATGTTGTACAGTGAGTGCAATTTGTATTGTTGATTTAGTAAAAAGGGCTGATAGTGTGCTTAAAATGAGCAATGAAGATGCATAGTTTTCTAAATTCGCTCATCTGATTTCTTGCTACAAAACAATAAATGTGGATTCAGGCTTATTTTATAATGGTTTAAATCACCAGCTACTAATGACATTGTGATGTTGTATCGATTTGGATGATGATACAATGTTTGCCAATATCACTTGTCATGATGGGTTCTCAAATGGAGACCCAGTTATGCAGAACACCACTTGACGGACACGAGGATGAAAGTTAAACACGTTTATTTAAGCACAACACACAGAATATACTGAAGACAGGTCCGGGCCTGGGTTCTGGTTTCACCGGAGTCTGCGTGAGAGACAGAGCGGTTAAGGTCTGCTGACAGGATTTGATTTCCAAGTGTGCTCTGATTGTACCTTGAGGGTTCTTGAGGTTCTCTTTGGGAGAGTCACTGTTGGTTCTGGAGAGGTGTTTATCAGCAGAGTCCGTTTGCTGCTTCAGCGTCTCACATCTAGCTTGAACAGACCTTAGCCTTGGTTTCCCAGCTCTGGTCCAGAGCTGCTTGGAGGTTCTCAGAGAATCTTCAGGGTTTGGCTCAGAGGGTCGGCTCGGCAGGTTAGCTCTTCCTGAGCTTTCACGGAGGAGACACGGGTTTCCTGGAAACACAGAGATAGAGGTTAGAATCCAACCTGGATTCAAAGTCATGGAGATACTCAAAGATCTAGGCTTTAGCGCTGACCAACTGGAACAACACTGCGGCGTTGGGCAAGGTCTGAAGACAGCTTATATAGTGGATCCTCTGATGATCTAGATGAGCTGCAGCTGTGCAGGAGGCTCCCTCAGAGGATCCACGGCGGACTCTGCTGGAGAAAGATGGGATTTTCTCCAGCTCCCAACAGTACCCCCCCCTCAACGACCGCCCCTTGGCGGTGCGGAAGAGGTAGATGGGCAGGAACGCTCGTACTCCTCGATAAGAGTAGGGTCGAGGATGTACGAGCCTGGGACCCATTGACGATCCTCCGGTCCGTAGCCCTCCCAGTCGACGAGGTACTGCCATCCGCGACCTCGTCGACGGGAGTCTACAATGCGGCGCACTGTGAAGGCCGGATGGCCATCGACCTCCAGGGCGGGTGGTGGGGAGTCGGACGGTGGGCACAGAGGGCTCGAAGAAACGGGCTTAATCTGGGAGACG